GAACTGGGGGGGGGGGGGGCACAAGTGTGGTCTGTGTAGAGATCCTCTCCAGCCTGCCTGAGGGAAATGGCCAGCCCAGGTGCAGACAGAGAGCCCGTGTTCCAGCTCCCAGGGAAACAGGGCGCCCTGTGTGTGTCAGGGACAGACGAGCCTCAGAGCAACGAGCCTAGAGCCAGCAAGTCTGCCATGACCACCACGGGAGTAACTGGCAGCCTGTGGCCTGGGCAGCCCTTCCTGGGGGCATCCTGTCCATCCTCCAGGTGGTAGTCATTGGGGGTAGGGGTTCTCAGTGGGTGATCCCGCTGCTGGAATAGTCTGGGGACCTATGACCCAGGGGAGTAGCACTTGGATGCCCACACTGGACCTCACCATGCTTTGCCAAAACTACAGTCTCAGGGCTTAGCAAGAAAAGCCTTAAGCCCCCAAATACTGCTGGGCCTTGGTCTAGCCATATACCCCCTACACCTTCCCATGGACCCTGGTTGGAGGGCTACAGATCCAACAGAGCTAAAGACAGGGCTGGGGTGTATGGAGGGGCTATCCAAGAGCTATGGAAGGGAGCAAGGCTCTGAGGTCACCAGAACACACCAGCAGGATGCCTATTCCCTCTGAGGGTAGGAGGGACAAGGTCTCACAGCCACACTGCAGTGGGAGGACAGTGGAAACTCAGCTGGGAGCTGTTGGGGACAAGGCTGTGGTATGGTGCATCTGCTGCCTCCTGACTACAGAATGCAGTCTTCACTCAGGTGCACCCTGAGCCTTGTACTACTTCCTGTGTCTGGATTTGTAATAGAGTCACACATTATATGACCTCTGCAAGGTTCACCTGCATCTCGCTCCTCATAGACCAATGGTCCCTGGGTCAGACCATGTGGTATCCGCCTGTTACGAGCCATGAGGGAAGTTAGGATGATACCAAGAGTGCCACCTGATGACAGGTGCTCAGTGTGGGGTAAGGGCCTCAGACCAGCAGGGACCTAGCAGGAGCCACAGCAGACAAGTTGGTGCGTCTGTTGGTGGCCAGTCCCCTCTATTGGCAAATGTAGAGCAGGGCCTGACACTGTCCTACAAACCTTGGTCATCAGGTCAGTTGGTAGTGGGAACCTACTACAGAGACCTGGCAGTTCTGACTGTGGGTGGCCCAGCCCTGCTCAGAGAGATCTCTCACCCAAGGGCAGATTGGGTCCTGACAGTGTTAGTTAGGACTGTCACCCTGGGTGTCCACTTACCCAGGACAACACAGGAACCTGACATCCTGGTTGTGATGGCACACACAGGCTTCCACCCTCTGATAGACATAGGTATCCATCACACATGCTTCTCCCAAACCCCCCTTATAGAAGCTGGTGGTTCGCCTCAGCTTCATTATTCCATCAGCAAATGATCCCTAGGCCCACAGCACTCCCAATGCTGTCACCTGCTGGGTCACTCCAGGTGGGGAGTTGGACCCCTCCTTGAGGAGCCCTGCTTGCACCCATGCCTTGACTGTGTGCCACAGGACCTTTGCACTGGCTGCACTATACTCCTTGGTCACACTCCAGGTGAATAGAAGTCTCAGCTTTGTCCCCCAGTACAGCAGGCATGCCAAAGGACAAGGCACTTGTCATCTACTCCTGGCCACATGCTCCCTCCATGGAAGAAAGTCTCCTCTTACCAACCCCAGAGAGAAACTTCTGTGTGACGAACTGGGGCACAACATAGTGAGCTTGGAGGGCCTGGAGTAGTGACTGAGTAGGAAGTGCAGAAGCTACATTAGACTCTTTGAGTGTGTTCCTGGTCTCTGACAACCTGTAGGGACTCAGCTTCCAAACACCAGGCATTAGCCCAGAGCTAGGCAGGAGCTCTGGCATGACAAGATAGGCTTGTTGAGCTGTACCTCCACCTGCTTGTAAATTCAGGACCCCAAGTCACCAGGCACTCTACCAGACCATGGACCTCTTCAGTGTGCTAGGCCTGACTGTTGCCCCCTTATCAATCAACAGCTCAGCAGGAGCCTTTCCCACCCACTCCATCATCCAGCATCAATGATGTGTCAACATCACATCCCTCATCATGCACTGGAGGTGGGTCCCCAGCCAGCTGAGGCTCTGTGACTGCTTCCCCTGCCAAGGGATTTGTTACTGGCTCAGGTTATTAAACAACCAAGGAAGCATCCCCATGTACAGTAGTACAGGATAGCAAAGGTACTTACAGAGAAGCCAGCCCAGCAGGTAGGCTTAGCACAAACTGCAACACTGCTGACAGGAACTGAAGACAAGCAGAGCTGGTGTCAAGTCACCTAAAAATGTCACTGTCAAGATGACGGTGCTGCCCACCATGGCCAATTGCTGTCCAACACAATTCCAGTGACCTTTCTATAGAAACAGGAACTCCAGCTCCAGACTTGTGTGGAGCTGCATATAACAAAAATCGTCTAAGAGCTGGGAGACAGCAGTCTGTAAAGTGCCTGCCACACAAGCACAAGGACCCATGGAAAAGGCAGACTCAGCAGTTGGATGTCTAAAACCCCAGCAATGGGGAAGAGGAGACTGATAGATTCCTGGAACTCATGGCCAGTGAGCCTAGTCAAATTGATGAGCTTCAGGTTTAGTGGGAGACCCTATTGCAAAAAAAAAGATGGAAATCATGTGTGGTGGTGCACACCTTTAATCCCAGCACTCAGGAGGCAGAGGTGGGTGGATTTCTGTGAGATCAAAGCCAGCCTGGGCTACATAGGGAATTCCAGGCCGAGCAACTAAAGAGTCACTGATGTCTACCTCTGGCCTCCACACATGGGAGCACACACATATATGTACATATACATATGTGTATACACATGATCTTTAAAACAAGGGATTAGCCGAGTGTGGTAGCACATGCCTGTAGTCTCAGCACTTGGGAGGCAGAGGCAGGAGGATCTCTTTGAGTTCGAGGCCAACCTGGTCTACATACTGAGTTCCAGGTCAGCTGGGGCTACAGGGAGACCCTGTTTCAAAAAGACCAAAAAATAATTAATAAATCAAGGGATTAAACTAGAATTCTCACATTTTCCTAATTTCACAATTTACTACCAAACTACAGTGATTGAACTGGTGTGGTAGCCCAATGTGGTAGCACATACCTGTAATACCAGAACTCAGGAGGTTGAGGCAGGAGGATCTCAATGAATCAAATCTAGCCTGGACTACAGGGTGATATCCTGTCTCAAGAAAAATATGCCCAGGTGATGCCGGAACAAAGCTTGGCATATATGTTCAGATGGCTGTTGACAAGGACTCTAAGAACATTCAAAAGAAAAAAACAGGAAGTAGGACTAAGGAATTTTTTATGTGTGTATGTGTGAGTATTATGTCACATGTGTTTAAGTGCATGTGGAAGTTAGAAGAGAGCATGGGATTCCCTGGAGCTGGAGTTACAGGTAGTTGAGAGCCACTCAACTTGGATGCTGAGAGCCAAACTCGGGTCCCCTAGAAGAGCAGGAAGCACTCTTAACAGCTGATCCATCTCTCCAACCTCAAAAACTTTTCCCCAACAGATGGTACTAGGACAACTAGTCAGCCATCCACGTGCAAAGGAAGGAGGCTGGGCCCTTAAGTCAGAGACAGAGATGAACTGTAGCACTGGGTTGATGGTTCATCAGATAAAGGCACTTGCTGCCTAGCTTGATAACCGGAGTTGTATCTCCAGGACTCATGGTAGGAAGAGAGAACCAACTCCCACAAATTGTCCTCTGGCCGCACACACCCAAACTACATATATAATGTTATAATGAATTTTATAAGTATGAATGTTTTGCTTGCATGTATGTAAGTGTATCACATGCATGCCTGGTACCTGTGGAAGCCAGAAAGGGCATTGGATCCCCTGGAACTGGAGTTATGAATGGTTGTTAGATACTATGTGGGTGCTGAACCTATATCCTCTGGAAGAGCAGTTAAGTGCTCTTAACTACTGAGTCATTTTGCAAGCCCCTAAATGTAATTTTTTTTAAAAGATGAACTCCAGCCAGATGTGGTAACATGTGCCTTTAATCCTAGTACTCAGGAGGCAGAGGCAGGTGGCTCTCTGAGATTGAAACCAGCCTGGTCTACATAGTGAATTCCAGGTGAGCCGGGGCTACAGGGAGACCCTGTCTCAAAAGCCCCCCGCCCCGGTCTACAGGGA